AAAAAAAAAAAGAGTTACGGCCTCAGAAACCCTTTATAGAGTCACTGAGCCAGAATTGACTTCAGGGCAATGCATATTGGTTTGGGGTTTTTATGAAATATTTGCATATCATGAGGTAACAATGATTCTTCAACATATGAGCTATGTTTGCCTCATGACATTAAATACACCCTAACTCATTGTCCATGTATCTGCCAAGGGTATATATGTACCTTTAGAGTTGCCACAGATGAGAAATTAGTGCAGTTAAAATCGCCCTCTCTCTCTTTTTCAAAAAGAAGTGGTAATTACAACGGCTTTTAGTGAATAATAAAATAGTCTCATCTCAGTTATTTAAAATGGATATTGTGGACATCATTTAAAAATTCTGGGTTAGTAGAAAATTTTAGAGCAACTACTTTGGAATCGGTAACAAACAAGTATTAATTTTCTGTTGGTTTCCCTAACTAGTCATCCTGGTGAGGAGCCTGTACGTTAAATCTTCCCTTATTTGGAAAAGATTTTAGCGCAGCATGCAATTCTGAGAAAGCAATTGTTTCCTCTCGTGAGTCTGCTGCTTTTGTTTGCTTGCTGTAAGACATATTAGTATTGCCACCTCCGGCTTCCCTGGCGGTCTGCAAGTCCGCACTGCATCACGGGGACGTTGCTTGTGCAAGGCGCATGTTTCACATCAGCGTCAACCATCGCCATCCGTCACTTCCAACTTGCAGTGATACTAGCTCATTCTCACTTAGATGCACAAACTGCTCTTTGTTTATCACTGATGAAGGGTATAGGACCTTTTTCTGGGGTTCAATGATCTCTAAGTATAACTTCCTGATCATTTGCCCTCCCTGAATATCTGAATGAATACGTAACCCAGAGATTCAGAGGCAATATAAAAACAAATAACTTGAGCTTATAAAAAGGCTCTTGTGATCTGCCCCCTGGATCTCATATTGGAATGGCCAACCTGCAGCTTACATTTGTTGCTTGAAATTTCTAGCAATTTTTCAATTAATGCCTAGAAAGTTCCCCACTCTTCGCTATCTCCTCCTCTTTGCCGCCATTTCCTCCTGTAGCTGTCAGGCTGCTGACGTACAAGGGTGATGGAAACGCAGACTCATCAGTAAAGAAAGGCCCAAAGGGCTTGAGGAGAGTTTCTTTTGACTCAGAATTCAGGCTACACTTGACCTCTACAAGACAGCTGTGCTGGCTCCCCGTCCCCAAAGTTGGCATCCATAATATTTTATGACTGTAATAGTCGTGGCTGATTTGCATAGTCATCACCTGCTTTCAGTAAGCTCCTTGAAGTCAAGGGTTGTTGATTACCCAGGGTAGGTTCAAAAGGATGTATCCTGGTATATAGTAAAGCCAGTGAGTTGATTCCCACCCCAATACCGCACTTCCGAGGCTATCAGACTTTATAGGAGCAGACACACTCATTTTTTTTTAATTCCACTAAATGGTGGGTTTGAACCACCAACCTTGTGGTTAGTGTAAATGTCCAACAGTTACCCCCACAGCACCATCTGGATTCCTCCGGCATGCAGTGGGCACTCAGTAAATGTTTGCTGAATGCGTGACTAGCCTTAGCTAAGAATTAGTAACTCTTAGTGAAGCACACTTGGTT